AAGACTGCAAACACTAGAGCCGGACATGTTGGCGTCGCACACGGCGTTATTGGGGGACTCGGACACATATGTCCGGATCAAAAAAGATCCGTCTAAAAAACTTACAACAGCTTTAACGTCTATGCTCACCAAATGGAGAACGGGAGGTCATATCAATGACTCCGAATACAGAGCGTTATACTGTAGTGACGGATCTCTCACGGATGCCTCAGTGCATATGTCGTCAACGTATCTATAATAAAATAAGGTGTCAAAATTCGACGACATCAAGGACACCGTCTCCAATCTCCTCATCACTAAGTCCACAAATACTGTGTGAACGAATATTGGTATGTTATTGCCAGCGATTGCTCCCTACCCAAGAAAGAGTTCTTGGGAGCAATACAGTTTGTCTTGAACTCTACGTTCTTTTCCTTTGACAATGTGATTTGCAAGCAATGCTTTGGCATTCCCATGGGCTCTCCAATATCACCGGTATTATACACGCTCCGTATCGGTTTTCATGTATCTTCGCCTAATATTTGTAATTAAATGTTTTATAATTTATTGACTCTTATTTCGCCGTTTATTTTGTTTGTTTATTTATGTTATATTTAAAGAATCTTTACATCGTTGTTATTTATCTCATTTTAATTGTAAAAATCTATGTTCTTTCTCAATATATGCATTTTTTATAGCATCAATTTTAAACAAAACAATTTTTAATTATATAAGTGAGTCCTTTCCTATTTATTCCTAAAGGATACGCTGTTGCGTTTTTTTCATGACATGGTATTATTCTCTTCATAATGTACTACAAAAATCTGGAGACACTGGTCGGTGCTAAACATGGCGCGAGACACGGACATGCTTCCTTTAAACCTATATCAGACTTCCGACTCTGCAAGCCGATCCGACTGCCAACTCTGACTGCCGACTAATAATGAATCAATGACATTGAATCAGTCTTATTGTGATTGGTCCATTATTGATCGGCAGTCAGTCTGATACGGGCTTTACGCGAACCGGTGAATTGCATCAGATCGGGGTTATCAGATCTCAACGGTTCGATCGAGTCTTCAAGTACACTTAATCAATAGTTTACACTCCGATCGTATTATACGTATTTTTATTTTTTCTCTACGTATCCTACAAGCGGAGATATTGCAACGCAAAGTTCCGAACTGCCACTTTTCAAATTCAGGTACGTCGTCATCGTTGTCGATCGCATTCCATACATTCTTTTTGTGTCCTTCTGACATTCTTTATGCAAGGAGTGCTAGTGATACTCGTATACATCAGCGACCGTTACGATCTGAAGACACGGTAGTATCTCGGCGTTAAGCATGGTGTGAATTTGTACTACGATAGTGACTCGGTCGGTTTTTTTCAAAACAACAGGATCGGTAAAACTGTTAATAATAAAACACGCTGGTAATTGCTAAAAACTAGGAAATGATAATGAAAAAGCGATTTATTCGATCTCCATTATAACTTAATATTTAACAAAAGGAATTTTAATGAAAACAAAATTATATGCTGGTATTTGTTAACTAAGCTAGGAAATAATAATGGAAAAACGTTTTATCTCTATTTATTTATAATTAATATTTAACAAAAGGAGACCAAACGGAAATGAAATTATATATTGATATTTGTTAACTAAGCTAGAAAATGATATTGAAAAAGGGCCAGACAAATTTAAACGGTTCAATAAAAACGACATGAGGGTATCTTTTCATAGTCCTAATGAAATGGGTAAATATATTAAAGTACAAAAGGATATTTGTCCCCGTACATCTAAGAGCAATGTAGTCTATAAGATATCGTGCAATAATTGTGATGCGTCGTACGTTGGACAGACGGGCAGACAATTAAAAATCAGAATTACAGAACATCGTAATCATATTAGACATAACACTTCTGTCCGTTCTGTCATAACGGAGCACAGGCTACAATATGATCATGATTTCCAATGGGATAATATTACAATTTTAAATGAAGAGCCTTACTATAGGAAACGCTTAATTTCCGAGATGCTCAATATTAAAAAGCAGAAAAATAGTTTGAATTTACAAACTGACACTGAAGGTTTTCATAAGGCATATATATTGTACCTATTGTAAATAAAATTTGACTTCTCAATATTGATAGTCCGTGGTGAGCCGCAGCAGCGAGCGTACATAATAATCGGCACATAATGTCTTACCTTACTCCTATCTGCGTTCCACCTGTCTTTATATATTCTAAAAGTTTTTTTATTTTTATATGGACACACTTGTTTGAATAATTTACATATAACTTTTGGTGAGTTTTTATTTCTTATTAGATTTTCGGTACGTTAATTTATTTGCGTATATTTTTTTGTAAGAAGTCTTTTTATCTTTTTTATCAACTAGAGCTTTTCCAAGATATTTGAAATAGATTTGGTTGTTCAATTGTACAGAAATAATGTCGAGTTCTACATCAAGACTCACCCGAACTGTGAATATAATATTATACGAACATTTGCGATAATTGATTTTGTACTACGATTTTTTCGATATGTTAATATCTGAAGAGAGCTCAATCCGGTAGCCGAAACTTATAATTTATTTGTATTTAAACTGAGTTTTCATTTATTTTTTATTTTTTTATTTTTTATTATATATTTTTTTTATTTTACTTTTCTTTATTTGTAATTTATTCTTTTGATTGTATGACTTTTTTTAAAGAAATGTGTTGACTCTTACGTTTTAGCTTTTATTTATTCTTATTTATTTTGTAGGAAGAATCCTTCAATTTGTTATATAATCAAGTTAAATTTTATCAAATTAAAAAGTAAAATACAAATGGTTCTGTCTCTTCTTATTTCCTCAACTCTAATGATACGAGGGTGGTCCCAGAAATACTCGACCTAACTAAGAAAACACAAAAAATTTGGGAAAAAATATCTTTATTTCTCAACATAGTCTCCTTTTAGCTCGATACACTTTTCCCAGCGATGTTCAATAGCTTCGATGGCCTGTTTATAGTAAGAACCGTTGAACTCCTCAAAATAGCCATTAACCGCAGACTCCACCTCTTCATTGTTGGTAAATCTTCTACCACCGAGCCATTTTTTCAAGTTTGGAAAGAGAAAATAATCCGAGGGGGCTAAATCTGGCGAATAGGGTGCGTGGGGAAGCAATTCGAACTTTAACTCAACATCCTCTCGACGCTGCTTTTGTTCGATTGTGAGCAAGCGCGGCACCCACCTTGCGCACAGCTTTCTCATCTCCAAATTTTCAGCCAATATGCGATGTACAGCACTTTTTGAAATGTTTACCATGTCTGCTAGCTCGCGCACTTTCAATCGACGGTCACCCAATACCATTTTGTGGATTTTCTTCACCATTTCTGGAATGGCCACCTCACTTGGTCGACCACTGCGATGTTCGTCTTCGCAGCTTGTACGGCCTCGTTTAAACTCTGCCACCCAATATTTTACTGTTGTAAACGAAGGAGCAGACTCCTCCAGAGTAGAATCCAGCTCGGCTTTGATATTGGTTGGGCTAAGACCTTTCAAATGAAAGTATTGTATCACATAACGATGACCAATTTTTTCCATCTTTGCAAATTCACCGAGATCGTCCACTATTGATGGCTGCCAAACAAATACTGAACAACGTAGCATCTTCAAACTTCATAGTTAAGCTTTAGAAAGTTGATGCTTTCCCCTACAGTGGTTTTTTTTATACAACAACCGCCATTTGTACGTCAGGTCGAGTACTTCTGGGACCACCCTCGTATGTATCATTCGTAAAAAAGATTTGATATCAACAATTGGTGCCAAGTTGTATAATTCGGATACTAAATTAAATAAATAATATTAATTTTAATGATATGTATCATTCCTATAAAAGATTTGATATCAAGAACTGGCGCCAAGTTAAATCCCACTTCTTTATACCATGTCAAATTAAATAAATAATGAATATTAATCTAATGATATGTATTATTTGTACAAGAGATTTGATATCAACAACTGTGGCGTCAATTGTTAAATTCTATTAAAAATAAATAATAAAACCAAAAAAAAAGTTGAAACTATCTTTATTATTTACTTTATCCAAATGGTACTATCTTTAATTTTTATATAATCAAATCTAAGCCTAGTATATGTATATCTTATTGAAGAATCTTCCTATTCCAATCCGAATAGTTTAAATTTCTCTTAAATGAAATTATTATATCAGAATTCATTTGAAGACATTTTCTTTTCCAACTAAAGTGTTTAATTTTCCTTCAAAATGTTATACAAAACATTATCACAAAATTGCGTTAGTTCAATTAAAGTGTTACCACAAAAATTACAGAATTAACAGTATAAAATAAAACAAATTTAATTTAAGTAGAAAAATTTTTCATGTATCATAAAAACACTTTGCGTTGCTAGATCTCGATAATAACATAATAATAAAATATGAATGTAATATTTAGAAAAATAACATAAATAAGGAGCATATTAATAAGAAAAATTAGAATCATATTAAAAAATATGAATATTTAGAAAAATAAGAAAAATAAGAAGCATTCCCAATGAGAGTTAAAGTATTTAGCGTGTGTATATATGCGACTGAGTTATAGAGTCGTGTAAATTATAAACGCTGTGCTTTTTCTTTAGTTGCCTTAAGCAGTGTTATGCTAATAATCCCGTGTATCCTTGTTTAATCTTAGATGAACGATGAAAGGGTAAAGCGATATACGGAGATACTCGAGTATCTCGTTTCTGAACACAGTTTTAATGATATCAATGTTGTTTATGATGTTGTTCTATTGAAAATTCTAATGAAAAAAAAGTAACTGAAAAATAATGAAAAGTCATTTTTTCAGTAACGTTAACTGTAACGAGTTATTTTTTCGATAACTTGTAACAGTACAACTAATTACTTTTTGAGATAAAAAATGTATCTGTAACTAATTACTTTTACAAAGTAATTTTTCCATCCTTGTTTATTATCTAATACTGTATCTATTAACTGTATCTATTATTTTTGCAGTTTAAAATGGTAAAGTTATATGCACTGACTGTTCTATATAAAAGTCCTCCGTCAGTAACGACGCTGAAAGCTGCTTACGATGTAGAGTCGTTCTCGTTTTTTCAAAAGAATAGTATTAAAGAGTTTATGTGTTTTGTCAGTAAAACCATTGTAGAAAGAACGCAGACTTGTGCCAGGCAGAGCGTCAAAGAAGGAGGTAATCATGATAGGATTATAGTTATAATTTTAAATAAACTTTTTTATTACGATAAACAATATCATGTTTGATCCTCCATGTATTTGATCCTAGAATACATGTGTCATGTCTATGTACGAGCCGACAATCTCGCTGCAGTTCTCATCTCGGATCATGAATATCCTAGGAGAGTGGCTCATACTCTAATTACAAAAGTGATGGAAGAGTTTATGGAGAAACATCCACCATCGACATGGCCTGCGCTTAAAGAAGTCACCGCTGACTTTCCACAGATTAATACGTATCTAGCCAAGTATCAGAATCCAGTCGACGCGGATGCGCTCACGAAAATGCAGAACGATCTAGATGAAACCAAAATTATTTTGGTAAGAATCAATAATTACATTGTTTCTCTTTTATTTGTTGAGAAATTTCTAAGAGGATTTATTTGATCTATTGGAATATCCATTCGTACATATATGGTATACAGGATGATTTAGATCCACTACAGAAGCCGGTACGTACATATTCCTCATGAAAAAGTAAATTAAAAATATCAATAGTAAAATGTTATAATAACAATAGTTTTTAAATAGTGAGCCTTTAAAAATATCCAACCACAGGGCATGAAATTCGCGCCGTCAGGAGCGGTGCAACCAAGCTGCCGGCCGTGTGAACGTTTTGACGGATATCGCACGGTATCGAACGAATATTGCGAAGGTTCGTAAAATTTCTATATTAACATCTACTGTGATATTTTTAAATCCGATTTAATTGATGAGAAGTAATGTTAATTACGCAAATTTGATATAAAGTCATTTATATTAGTAAAAAGGATTTTTAAAATATGTTTCAAGTAATAAACAAATAAGTTTATAAATAAAATCAATATTAATTAAATTATCCGAATTTCAAAAATCCTTTTTATTGATATAAATGATGTTATATCGAATTTGCGCAATTGATATTACTTCTTATAAATTAAATCGGACTCGATTTAAGAATATAGTAGATGTTAATATAGAAATTTCATGAGTTTTTGCAATACTCGTTCGACATCGTGTCGTTAAGCGTTCATGCTGGCTGTTTAGTTGCATCGCTACTGACAAAGCGAATTTTATATCCTATGGTTGGATATTTTCAAAGACTCACCGTTTAAAGATTATTGATATTACATCATTTTGTTATTGACATTTTAGACTCACTTTTTCGTATTCGAGGAATATGTATGTGTCAGCTCCTGCGGTTGATCTGGATCACCCTGCGTGCGCGCATCCACATTGGTTCACACACACACACACACACACACACACACACACACACACACACACACACAAGCCTACATGAACACGTCGCGCGTTGGAAATAGTTGGTATGTTATTATATTGCTATCTTCACTTACGCTATTCACATACGCTGAGCACATATGGAGTAGATGATTCGCGCTATTTCGAAGTATGCTTAACAGGTTCCAGTGTATATGTAGGGTGTCTGGTTTTGACAAAGCACACGTGTGTACATATACAGGGTGTTCCATTTCAATTTTGGGCAAATATTTTGAAAAATATAGAAGATATAGAAAAATGTTTTACACAAAATTGCATAATTTAGAGGGGGCCATATCTTGGTCATGTTGTCTTCTAAAAAAAATTATACAATTCTATTTAAAAAAGTGAAGGCGCCAAAAGGATATCGAGGTTGCCTTCACTTTTTTAAATGGAATTGTATAATTTTTTTACACAATATGATTTCTTTAATTATTTTGTATTTAAAAGTATTAAGATAATAATATAAAAATCCAATAGTTTATAAGATATTTTATATTTTATTTCAACACATAAAATATTAAATAACTTGTAAACTATTATTAATTTTTTGATAATTATATCTTAATATTTTTATGAACAGGATCATAAGAAGAATCAATTAGTAGAAAAACATAACTGTTTTAAAAAAATGTGAACAAAATGGCATGATTGTGAGCATAATTTTAAATAAGCAACTATATGTTTGCTTTTCTATCAATTGATTCATCTCATTATTCTGTTCATAAAAGTATTAAGGTACGATTATAAAAAAATTAATAATTTACGAGTTATTTAATATTTTATGTCAATATATGCTAAAATAGAGTATAAAATATCTCATAAACTATCGGTTTTTAAATATTATTATCTTAACACTTTTATGGAGAATAATTAAAGAAATCATATTGCATAAAAAAATTATGTAATTCTATTTAAAAAAGTGGAAGTGTACTTCATATCTTTTTGACGTCTCCACTTAGAAAAAAAACCAACATGACCAAAATATGTCCCCCTCTAATGTCCAATTTCTTCACTTCCAGATAAGTTGCGGATAACCTTATTAAGGAGATATCTCTATTGTGTTCTAGAAAATATCTTTTGGATAAAATTATTTAGAGATGAAGAAATTGTGCATAAACCGTGCAACTTTTGTCTAAAACATTTTTTTGTAGCTTCCATATTTTTCGAGATATTTGTCTGGGGAAATTAAAATGGGACACTTTGTATACAGAATATCTGATAAATTATTACAAAGCACTTATGTGTAGATGGAGTGGACTAAACTGAGTTGAAAAGTCCTGTACCATTTTGCAATTTTTGCAATAGTTAACAAGATATTAATTGCTAAAAATTTCCGAATATTGGTCTTCAATAAATTTTTCTCAAATATCAACTTTACAGAAAAACTGCAAGACACAAAGATTGTTTTTATTTTCTTCTCATAGAACTCCAAAAATTTTTTTATAATTTTTTATCAACTTTTTAGTACTGCATTTTCTTATTTTTACCAACATAAGAAAATACGGTATTAAAAAATTCTGAAAAAATTCTTAAAACTTTGAAAATTCTTAAAACTGAGAAGAAAATAAACAATTTTTGTCTCTCGCTATTTTACTGTAAAGTAACAGTTATTTGAGTAAAAAATAATTGAAAATCAATATTTAGCGATTTTTAGTAATTAATATCTCGTTAAAATAAGAAAATGCACTAAATGTACTAAAAAGTTGATAAAAAATTCTATAAAAATTTTTGGAGTTCTATGAGAAGAAAATAAACAATCTTTGCCTTTTGCAGTTTTTCTGTAAAGTTGATAGTATTTAAAGTAAAAAATCATTAAAAACTAATTTTTAGTAATTAATATCTTGTTAACTATTGCGAAAATTGCAAAATGGTACAGGACTTTTCGAGTCAGATTAATTCGCTCTATCTACACACAAGCGCTTTGTCAAAACTTACCAGGCACCTATACACAGGATATAAAAAAAGTCTCGGACTTTTTAAATATCTTGGAAAATAAGCATTTCTGAGAAAAATATTTTATACAAAAGTTGTTGTTGAAAATGATCTATTTACCTTATATCAATTTGACCTTGAGTGGCGTCACCAAGGTCAAGTCAAGGTCGAATCCATTTTTTTTAATGAAACATTTTTTATTTTAGAATCAATATAGCTGATGTCGGGAGTTTTTTAAAACTAATAAAGTTTCTTTTTAATCAATACTTTTTAATCAAACTTTTTAAATTATGAGACTTAAAAGTCACAGGACCGCCAACATCATACGCATCCTCAAAAGGGAGCGCCTTAGGTAATGCCGGTCTCATAACTCAAAAGTACTTAATGAAAAATAATTTTATTATAGTATTTGAAAAGCTTTTGACACCAGCTATTAGATTCTGGCATCAAAAATAGAGTATTCCATTAAAAAAAATTAATTTGACCTTGGCGACGCCACCTAAGGTTAAGCGGATGTGATCAGTGAATAGATCTTTTTAAATTCTACAACTTTTGTCTGAAACATTTTTCTCAAAAATGTTTTGTTTTTGAGATATTCGATCGTTTCGAATCTTTGATACACCCTTATACGAGTACAGGATGTCTCAGAATTTGCATACCGCCAATTACCAACGTATTCTCCGTGAAATTCTAAAACGGAAAGGTCTGTATCATAAAGCGATTTGATGGATATATTTTGAATGATGAAATTGAATTTGACGAATGGGCGCGCGTGGAATTCCCGCGGTCATGGTTGGCACAACCGAGACTAGCACGAAACACTTCAGACTCTTGCATTGTATCAAAGTATATTTCTCTTTACTCTTTGTATTTAATTTAACCAATTAGTTAAAAATTGTTTAAAATACAATTTGTTTCAAAAGTTTAAAATTTATTTAAAACATCCACAAATTATTTAAAAACAATAAAAATTGTTTATGAAATGTTAATATTGTTTAATCAATATTTAATCAATATTTTAAAAATTTTAATATTGATTACACATTAAATGATGAACAAATATCAAAATTATGTGTAAGCAATGTTACAATTATTTAAGAAAGTTTATTATTGCTTTAAAAATAAAAAAACTTTAAATAACTCATAATTCCTTTAATAATGTAAAAAGTGTTTCAAAATTCTGCAATTTGTTTTCTGCAATTTAATTTTAAAAATCACAAAAACAAGTTGATGTATTTTAAACAATTTTTAACTAATTAGTTAAGTTAAATGTAAAAAGTAATGAGAAACACGATACAAGTCTGAAAAGTCTCGGTTGTGCCGACCTTGACCGCGCGAATTTCACATGTGCCGACGAATGGAATTTGTCAACTTCAATATCTCATCATTCAAATTCTATTCGTCGAATCGCTTTTTGGTAAAAAACTTTTCGTCTTAGAATTTCACGAAGAATACGTTGGTAAGTACAAGTACGCGAGTTAAGACACCCTGTATATATATATATATATAGAGTATCTCGTAAGTTTTTGCCAAGCGCTTTTGTGTTGATAACGGATTAAATTGAGTCGAAAAGTTTTCTACCATTTTGCAATTTTCGCAATAAGTTAACAATATATTAATTACTAAGAGTGCTTTCCATTTGATGACACAAATCGACATAAGTCGATATAAGCGTTATTCTATGTCTTGCTGACAGAGAGATATGTCAGAGAGTGACAAAGATAGAACGACACTTGTGTTGACTTTGTTATCAAATGGAAAGCATCCTAAAAATTGCTGAATATTGATCTTCAATAATTTTTTATTCAAATACTATCAACTTTACTAAAGAACTGTAAGAGACAAAAATCTTTTTTTTTTTTTCATAGAATTCTAAGAATTTTTTCAGAATTTTTTATCAACTTTTTAGTACTGTATTTTCTTATTTTTATCAACATGAGAAAATATGGTATTAAAAAATTCTCAGAACTTTATAAAAAAAAAATTAACAATTTTTGTCTCTCGCTGTCTTTCTGTAAAGTTGATAGTACTTGAGTAAAAAGTTATTGAAGACCAATATTTAGCGATTTTTAGTAATTAATATCTCGGTAATATCCCATTGCGAAAATTACAAAATGGTAGAGGAT